TAACACCCTAACACCCTAACACCCTAACACCCTAACACCCTAACACCCTAACACCCTAACACCCTAACACCCTAACAGTATCATTGAGTTCTTCTACAATAAAAGAGCATAGAATATAAATAGAGATATATATATCATTATATATCAGCAAAATAAATAGCTTTAACTTGTCTAAACTCTAATGGATGAAGATTCTCAAGAGCACTATCGTAAAAATGTTTAGAATTCTTCGATATATGTAATTGCGAAATTTACATTTTTTGAGAAAAATTATGCTTATTGAGAAAGAGAAAGCGAGAAAAAACATTGTTTTTCCTGTCATATACTTTTGACTATAGGATACTAAGTCCGTTATTTTGTCTCTCACAACTTGAATATGCTATGGGGGAATGCATACTTATTCATGCATCGAGAAAATCATTAGAGCAGTATTCTTCAAAGACTATCTAGTATATTTTTACAGTTTTAATTATGTAGTATATATTTTCATACACATTCCGATAATGAGCAGTGGACACTAGAATCTAATTAGACTTTTGGTGTACAGAATTTTTTTAGGTTTAGATCGAATGTCTTAGATGATGATGCACCAGAGCTAAAATGTATTATATGTGCGATGCAGTTTCCAGAATTTCGGCCCGACAAAGTTTCCTAATTATTAAGTTCAAATCTATTGTGCGCAAAGAAAAACGCATTTGGACAATATGCCAAGGTTGTAAACGTGCATGTAAGGGATACGAGTGGTTCCAAGAAGCATGGATTACTTGCAATGGAAGTCATCTTTCACTCGTTATGCATTGGCGAAGATTTGGATATCTTTCCAGCAGGAAGTATTTTGAGCAAAAAGTATTAATATGTTGAACTCTTCATTAGCACCGCAAGATCATAATAACAGAAGTAAAGTGATAGCATTAACTCTATTTGATTTGCGTTAGGTACTACTATTGTATTCGTATATGCAATGTACACAGCAGTGTTTGATGTCAATAATAATAATTAGTTTCTTCTTTTAATTCACCATTCTGTAATCTAGCGAGTTAACTGATTTCCGGTATGTATGTATGGCAGTTGATTCGGGGTTGAAAGAAAGTTCGTATTTTCAAGGAGACTCTGCGAGGATTCATACATTTGCCTTTAATATGTGTTCATATAATTTACCCAGTAGGCAAGTCTTGATATTACCTTATGATTACTTCTTATGATTCAGAAATTACATTGCTAAGCACTTTTAAGAGATCTAAACTCAGGAAGCGGGTTCCAGCAATAGAAAACAAAATTTTGTGATCGCTTTCTTTTTTTCATTTTGTTTGGTACCATTTACATCTCTAAATTCGAAGATATGAAATTTCTAATTAGCATGAATATATGTTTATCATAAGAATAAATCGAATACTTGGACAATATTAATGGGCTCATTCTGCTGATAAATTATTTCTCTTTAAGAATGGGCTTAGGATTTACGATTGCTAAAACAATCGATCTTTGGTGTTCTGGTAGTACAAGCAATGAGTTCTTGTACTCCAATACTCGGAATCACACAAAAGTCTCCAATTGAAGAGTCAAAAAGGCTTTCCATATTTTTTAGAGTATTGTCTATTTGTTTACACATTATCAAGATATGAATGTGTAAGAAAGAGGAGGGGATATTCGGTAAGAATGATACACAATGCCTTCTCGGCATATTACTCGCAGGGAAATGCATATCCCTTTAAATGAAAAAAAAAAATATTTTCACGAAATCTAATACTCTCAATATCATTAACATAGTACCAGTACTGAAATGTCCACCACTTATTCCTTTGGTGCCAGAAATTAACCTACTAAAATCATTGTTCAAGACTCTGCTAACTAGACTTTTTGACCGAGCCTGTCCTCTCATTTCTACTAGAAAAAATTCCAAACTGGCTCGAGATCTACAACTAATCCAGTTATATGGCGCTATCATAGTCTTAAAAATTTCCTTACGCATCTGAAATGTTTATTGTGAGCCATCACAAGTCTACAAGACCCGGTGCTGCCCATATCTCTGTTGTGCGAGTAAAATACCAGGTAATCGTGTGCCTGCATTACTGGTAATCTCTGGGAACCGGTAGCGCGCGTTACTGGTGTACTTTCCTAGTGATCACAGAAATAAACTTGTGCTAGTGCTTGTATTATGCATTGTAAACTTTCACCATTTCAACAAGTATCGAGCGGTTTACACATCTATGTCGTAAATTAGACTTTCAGAAGTTAAAACATGTGTCAGACCTCCATTAGAACGAGAGACAAGCTTTTCCCCTAGATTTATTGCAGGGTTCTTTTTTCACAGCTTCTAGAAGGCAACATCATCAAACAGATGACAAAAGACTTCACCGATCAGCCCTCTTTCATCCTCTATTACATGAAAATCGCTTGGACAACCTTGAACTTATAATACTAAGCCTAGTGTTGTTAGAAGGATGCTCTCAAATTGAACATGAGTTGAGGCTCATTTGAAGGGCATATCTTGTTGGTATATTTCTACCAAGAGCATAAAGGTTGAATAATTTCCGCACACTCTCATAGTTCTAGAGCGGGGTGCGGAATAGCGTTCTTGTGTGTCAAATAAGGAATCAAGTCCACACATTGATGATCATCGATGACTTAAAAACTGCTAAGCACGGCATCATAATTAAATATTTTGAAGTTGGGGCAAAAAAGAAAGCAAAGTAAGGTAAAGTCATAGGATTTTTTTAAACTACATGACTGGCATGTACCCAAGGCACTCAGCTCTTCCACTGCTTGCGGAAACGGTCTCTTCCAATTTTAAAGTAAGGAAAAAAAAAAAAATTAAGAAAGGGCCAGGAAATTCGGGGTAAACATCGAAGCACTCTCAATCAAGTAACCTTCTACGGTGTCCAGGTCGTAGTAATGTTTTTATTTGTGTACGTTGCGTTCTGCATTCTGCATTCTAGAATATTGAAGCTGAAAGTAGATCAAGGGTTTCAATGCACATTACAATAGCGGTACTGTAGCTTCATTAGTCGTATGCCTATGTCTGGATTTGGCAGAAGCACTGGTGTAAAAAATTTCTTCATCCGTGGATCTGTCATTTCTTTTCTGATAAAATAAAACAATTACTTCTTCAGGATCTTGCATAAGGAGCGCCAGTTAGAAATAGGCGCTATGCATTTCCCACCTTATGCAAACTCATGCGCGACCTGCAGCGATTTACTAAAAGCTGCCGATAGGACGAATCACGAAATTAAAAAAAAAAATGAGTTAAATTACCACCAAATGAAAACAGATAACTCAAAAGAGTGCTGAAATTCCTTCTACAGACCCGCATGGTAGCCTCAGGATAGATCTCTAGGGTGCAACTAGATACCACCGAAGGTTTATCATAAATAATACCCATTTCAGCGGCAATATCAAATTATTCTTCTGAAACAACTACCACACGAACAAGATATGTTTCAGCAGGAGCAAGTGAAACAACAATTACATCAACAACAGGGAGTATTACTCCAACCTCAAGGGTATCCTCAAGGCATAATGATAGTTCCACAGATGCAATACTACCCAGAACCAGTTGTGTTTCAGGTAGACCAGCAGATACAACAGCAAGTCTACAACCACCAGCCATCGCCACAGACTTTGGTTGTCCAACCCCTGGGTCTTATGATGGTTCCGAATCAACAACCCCTCGAGCAGTTTATGTTTCAACATCAACAGCAATTGATACTTCACCAGCAACAACGGCAACACCACGAGATGATATTTCACCAGCAACAGCGGCAACACCACGAGATGATATTTCACCTGCAACAACAGCAACAGAAGCAGCTACAGAATCAGCATCAGCATGAAATGTATAGCCAGAAGCAGCAGAAGTTGATGGTCCTGCAACAATTACGGCACCCTCAGCTAGAAAATCTTGTTGAAGAGCGAAAGAAAAATAATACACAGCTGGCTGTAGAGAAAAAACAACAAGAACTACAGAAGAGCCAAGTGAAACTTAGTAAAATTAAGAAGAAGATCACATCCACTGCTATACTGTCACTACCATACCCAGTCGACCTCGACATTCCATCGGGAGACGAATTATCCTATGACGAAACCATTGTTAGACCCCCATACCAGTACCAGAGTTTTTCTAGGGCAACAAGAAGCTATTCAGAAACAGTTGCACTGACTGTACAGACACCTCAGCGTAAGAGATCTTCATACGCGAGTATATTGCATTCACCTCAATCTGAGTCACCCCCAGGGTCCAGCTCATCACCTCATTATCAACTACATACACACACAAGTGCTACTACTCCTCCAAACCCCAGACTTCAATTTTTAGAGCCAGTCACAAATCTTGAATACATAAACACAGAGAACTTACAAGACTTAAAAATAGAGGATTATAGCTTATTCAACCCATTTCATCTTCATTCAAAACAAATCCTCAGAAGAAATCTTAGGTGCCCTGTTTTGAGTTGTCCGTGGAGCCAGAGAATTTGTGGAAGAGAGGAGCTCCGGAAACATCACTTTAAGACTCATCTAAGTCGGGGAAGAATTGACAAGAGTATACACCCAGTTGCAGCGGAACTAATAGCACAGTTGCTTTATAAATGTCTAGTTACCGGCTGTGGGAGAATATATAGTAGGGGAGATTCTCTCAAGAAGCATATAAAACTAGTCCATGAAAAACCAACTAGCAGATTCAATAAGAGCGCCCGACTTAAGCTTTTAAAAGTTGAAGATCAAGGCATGCGGGATGCCGCACACAGTTTATCATGAATATAGATAGAAGGGTGTAACACTAATGTGTAATTAGTGTATTGAGAGCTTACCTTAGACTACAGTCAGGGCATAATTAATGTTATCGAGACTTAGATCATTGCAAAGGGCGAACTAGAGAATGTTGAACCTCCAAGATAGACTTACAGAGTTACACAGAACAAGAGCTTAGTGAGGTGATAATAAAGGCTTTTAGAACACCTATAGCACAGAGTGATGACAAAATACCAAAGCGATGCCAATTTTCAGAATAACAGCTTCAGCTAGAATAATACACAGATTATAATGTACCGAGGACCAGAATTGAAAATGGCAAATAATAATATCGAACGCCTAATGTAGAACGCAGATAGATATAATAAATGCTATCATACGGCCAAACGTAGACCCTACCCAGTGCATAATAAATATTCACGGACGCCTAGCATGATTAACAGTACTCGGGAAATTATCTTGCGCATATCAGTAATAATACAAGCAAAATCACAGCCAAGACCAGTGTGGCATTTTGTAAAAACACATGATCTTTTGTTAGCCACTGAAGACAGTTTAATAAGGTGTAAGGCATACACAAAACATGGATCTTTAATGAAAAATAAAATATTTTTTGAGGTAACCAAAACCAAACTTAAGCCTTACTACATAGAAAGCAAAACTCAAAAGAAAATAGAAACAAAACAAAGAAAAAGTTTTGTGGCTACGTGAGTGATGACCATTATCAAAATTACCCAGTGTGAGATGATCGCACTTGGATATAATACATGAGCAAGTGATATACGATGGAGCATATGTCCTAACTCACTTAATATGCTACCGAAGCCAGGCTAAGTGTGTCACGCTTACGTTAATACGAAGTCATGCACCTTTTTCATGTGCATTTTCTACCCTCTGATCCCTTGCTGCTTTTAAGCGGTGGCCGAAAGCTATAGCGTATATGTCCCTATCACCTGAGTGTGTAAATGCATCCAAGCATCCCAAAGCTATTTTATTCTCAACCGAAGCGTCTGCATCGAGCGAATATTTTTTACGCAAGAGCGGCAAAAAGATCTGAAACTGTTGTACAACAATGCTCTCGCATACGTGAAACGGTAGGGGCGAAAGAAAATTCACGTTTACACTGCACCTAGCATTGGATCGACCAGACAACGTATTGATGTACTGCTCTGCAAATGTTTCATAATTTCACTCTATATGAAGAGTAGCCACATTACAGCTTTCGCAAATCAACTTTTGGAGAATCTCGCTTTGAATCTCGCTCTGAAATTCGTACCTTTGTCCATCGGGCAGTGAAAATTTTCACTTCATCTTGATTTTCTAAGCGGCACTTCAAATATGCAAGCGCGCCCTGCAAAGTTGCTTTTTTCAAACTAAAAGGTATCAAGAATTTCTTTCGCATTAGCATGTGTTATTCACCGAGCCTTCAAGTTTTCTCTGAGCTATAAGTTTGAGCTATCCTATATGTTACCACAATTGTGTCACTCTGATACTGTGGAAATGTGGCCCCCACCCTCAGTCGTACTTTAGTTGTTGGTCTCTTTTCTTTTCCTGGCCGTTTGCTGCTCTACATTACTTCCCCTTTTCACTCAATTTTATTTTTTTCACTCATTTCATTTCTTTTTTGTCTCATAGATTTTCGTGCGTATGCACTGACTTATCTTAGTTACCTGCTTTAAGGTAGTCTGTACATGGGACATATCCAGAGCTGGGTAAGACTCAAGTCGCATACAGTTACGCAATTCGTCTATTAGTACATATTCCACACATGTAGAGGAAACTCTTTTAGTATTATACATCCCGTAATTAACAGCAATACGAACAACACCCCTTCGAAATCCACAATAACTTTCGTTTGAGATTTAGTGAAAGATCTTACATTGTCGCTTAATTTTCACAAAGTAAACGGATGTTTTTGTGCTTGTCGGGTAAAGAAAGCATCTCGTTGTGCCTTCTACCCCACAAACCACTGATATACCAAGCGTGCCGTGTCGTCAAACAGTGTCTTTCTCATCCACCAAAACAAATCCAATCAAAGATTCATGATTCAGCTCGTACTTCCGGTTAAGTGGTACAGTAGATTGACGAATACTTTACGAGATTCCTCTCGTGAATGTACTAATGTACACATTGTCTTTTATCGCTGTCCCCCCAAAGGGCGTTCGGATGGTCCTGCTATGCAGCTAAGTGGTAAGAAAGTCAGGACGCTTCCTAATCGCCGCAGCTGCTCATGCAATGAAACTGGAGCACGTCATGTCAGTACAAGTCCGGTAATCATCTTTCCGATTCTTTTGTAATTTGAAGTGGCTATTGACTCAAATGGCTCCAAATAGGGAAACTATCTCAGTGCATTGCAGTTGTGTATAAATGTGTGAAAAGTCAAAATCACAAAGAGTGAAAGCTCAGACCCTATAATCTAGTTATGCCAACATGAATGCCGTCTGGCGTTACTGGCAATTTTTAGTATTTTTTGAAAGTAAGCATGCAATGGCGAGATAATACTTTAAACTGCTGCCTAATCGATCATAGTGGGCCCAGAGAGCATGGAACAGTACTTGAACTGAGTATCGTGTGTTACATTTCATGCAATGGAGAGATTAAACCTTAAACTGCTACCTAATCGATCGTAGTGGGCCCAGGGAGCATGGAGCGGTACTTGAACTAAGTATCGTGTGTTACATGTCATGCAATGGGGAAGATATTTTTATCAATTTTGGTCCATTTACTGCTGAGTATTGCAATAGAAGACCACTTACCTAGGCTGCAAGAGCCGACGCATGTAAATTACTGAATTGCTCTATTGGCATTCTCCACCAATTGATACAGAGTAGGCACTAAACCCGTAGGGCGGAAGAGCACGTCGATCAGACGTGTAAAGTGGACACCAGTGATTACCTGCTCATACAAATATTGGCAATATTCTCTCTTGCTTTATCCCAGTGGTTTTTGACTCATTTTTAGCTGCTAGAACTTGAGCATTTCAAAAAGTATAATGAGGATATCTCTATTCAAATTTATACTGGTCATATCTAGTGTCGCATCGTTGGGTGTGAGTCTGGCTCTGGCACCAGCTGTACCCAATGTACCGGGATGCTTGCCAACGAGTGCCAAGTCGACTGGGTTCAATGTAAATTTCTACCCATACCCTTTAAACAATGCAGACTTAATGTCAGAGTTATCCTATGTCCTGACTGGGTACAAGGCAACTGCGAGCCCAATTGCTACTGCATCTGGTATTACTAATATTAACTTCAATTACTGGAATGGCCTTTACACTGTCGCTCCAGACACCTATACCCTTTTTGGAAAAACCATTACTATTACCAATTTTACAGCAGAGTTCACTGGTTACTACTATGCAGCAACAACGGGATCCTATACCTTCTCTTTAACAGCAATCGATGACTCTGCTGCTGTATTTTTGGGAGCTGAGGCTGCTTTTGATTGTTGTAACTCTCGAACAAGCACCCTTTCTACTGAGTTCGTAATCTTTACTTCAAAAGTGTGGAACGCGGCTTCTCTTGGAGCTGCGAGTGCCTCAGTTGTTCTTGCCGCAGGGACATACTATCCTCTCAGAATTGTTTATTCAAATGCCCTTCAAAGGGCAGAAATGACTTTCCAAGTAACGAATCCTGCCGGTGTGGTAGCAACCGATTTCTCAAACGTCTATACGTTTGCAGATACCGAAACGTCTTGTACCGCATCTTCAGTATCATCCACTTACTTCCAAGTGCCAACAGGTTACACCACTTCATATGCCAATATCAAAACGAAGACAACTACGACTATTACCGGATCTAATGCTGTCATAGTTGAAGAAATCGACCCATACAAAACAACTACTATCACGACAACCTCAGGGACAAGTGGGACATTTACAACAACAGTCTCACCAGGTGCAACGGATTCAATTGTAACTGTCATAGTCGATCATCCTACACCGGTAACCACCAAAACTACCACATGGACAAAAGCTGGAACTTCAACCACAACCCTTTCATTTAAGACGGGTGGAACGTTAACAGTAGACATTGAGGTACCAATTCCAACAGTAACCTCAACAAGCTATTGGAGTAAGAGTACGACTTCTTACTCGACAAAAACAGCAACTGTAGGAGGAACAGCTACGGTAATAGTCGACTTGCCGAATCCTACCGTTACAGTAACTAGCATTTGGAATAGGCTCACTCTGTCAACCACAACAATCACGGCACCACCAGGAGGTACTGCTACTGTAATCGTTGAAGTCCCAACTCCATTAGCAACCATTACTTCTACTTGGACAGGTAAGGGAACCACCACCACTACTTTGCCTCACACTGTAGGTGGAACGGAGACTATCGAAGTTGAAGTTCCTATTCCTACTCTCACTGTGACAAGTACTTGGAATGAGCTCACTCTGTCAACCACGACAGTGACCGCACCACCAGGTGGTACTGCTACTGTAATCGTTGAAGTCCCAACTCCATTAGCAACCATTACTTCTACTTGGACAGGTAAGGGAACTACTACCACTACTTTGCCTCACACTGTAGGTGGAACGGAGACTATCGAAGTTGAAGTTCCCATTCCAACGGAAACCATGACTTCCACATGGGACAAGAGTTTTGATTCCACTACCACGGTCTCTGCACCACCAGGAGGTACTGCTACTGTCATCGTGGAAGTCCCAACTCCATTAGAAACCATTACTTCTACTTGGACAGGTAAGGAAACTACCACCACCACTTTGCCTCATTCAGCAGGTGGAACAGAGACTATCGAAGTTGAGATTCCTATTCCAACTGAAACCGTCACAAGTACTTGGAGTAAGCCTACAGTCTCCACCACCACAGTTACTGCTGTGCCAGGGGGTACTGCTACTGTAATCGTGGAAGTCCCAACCCCATTAGAAACGATAACTTCTACTTGGACAGGTAAGAGAACTACCACCACTACTTTGCCTCACACTGTAGGTGGAACGGAGACCATTGAAGTTGAGGTTCCTATTCCAACGGAAACTGTGACCTCTACTTGGGACAAGAGTTTTGACTCTACCACAACAGTCACGGCACCACCAGGTGGTACTGCTACTGTCATCGTGGAAGTCCCAACTCCATTAGAAACGATAACTTCTACTTGGACAGGTAAGGAAACTACCACCACCACTTTGCTTCATTCAGCAGGTGGAACAGAGACGATTGAAGTTGAAGTTCCCATTCCAACGGAAACCATGACTTCCACATGGGACAAGAGTTTTGATTCCACTACCACGGTCTCTGCACCACCAGGAGGTACTGCTACTGTCATCGTGGAAGTCCCAACTCCATTAGAAACGATAACTTCTACTTGGACAGGTAAGGGAACTACCACCACTACTTTGCCTCATTCAGCAGGTGGAACAGAGACTATCGAAATCGAAGTTCCTATTCCTACTCTCACTGTGATAAGTACTTGGCATGAGCTCACTCTGTCAACCACGACAGTGACCGCACCACCAGGAGGTACTGCTACTGTCATCGTTGAAGTCCCAACTCCATTAGAAACGATAACTTCTACTTGGACAGGAAAGAGAACTACCACCACTACTTTGCCTCACACTGTAGGTGGAACAGAGACTATAGAAATCGAGGTTCCTATTCCAACGGAAACTGTGACCTCTACTTGGGACAAGAGTTTTGACTCTACCACAACAGTCACGGCACCACCAGGTGGTACTGCTACTGTAATCGTGGAAGTTCCAACCCCAACTGTCACCATTACTAGTACTTGGACTGGCCTCACAACATATATTACCACAATAGGAGCACCCCCAGGAGGCACGGCCACAGTTGAAATCGATGTACCTACTCCTATTACAACCTTCACTAAAACTTGGACGG